AAGTTCCTTCCTCACTAATTTCAGGAACATTGGCATTTTCCAAACCTACAGCAGTTTCTTCCTCACTAATTTCAAGGAGCATTGGCATCAAAAGGTACATTTCCACTAGCATCAGTAAATATACTTTCATTAGCATCAGGAGGAACAAACAGAGAATCAGGTTCAAGTTCAAACTCAGGCTGAACCCCAACAATACCGTAGTCAAAAGCCAGTCCAAAGGTTCAAGGTTCCAAGATTACAGGAGACAGGTCAAGATACCGAAAATCCAACAGACCTGGGGGTAAAAACCAGCAGCATCCACCACCAAAATGCAACAAATACTTTTCTCCTAAAGATCTCTCTCAAGGTTAGCACCTTAAATCCGGTAACACCCAGCTGCAACCCATCTCCTGCACACCTCCACCCCTAATTGCTTTCACCCATGAATTCCCACTTACAGCTTACCAAACCCTCTAGAACTAATACTCACATTAACCCTTCCATCACCAACCACCATGAACTGGAAAACATATGACACATATATGGAAAACTTTCAGTGCCAACAAGGAGAAATATATAAACAAATCACAACAAAGCAGATCACATAAAAAATATACAAACGACCTGACTTTAAAACTTAATAAAAAGCAAAATAGCAAAGATAAAACTTAAAAACACATATAAACAAACACCTAATATAAATTTATCAATACGTAAAACTACTAGAAGTTAGCAATTAAAACCCAAAGACAGTTGCGGTACTTTTCCACAACCAACAGGCTGAAATCAATTCCAGTATCTAGACAAGTTTTAGCATCTAGACAAGATTCAGCATATCTAGGTGAGCATGTAGGTCAAGGGGTGTTAATCTTCCTCTTTTCCATACACCAGGGTTCATAGATGGGTTTTAGCAGCTTTTTGAAGGTGAGGACTGGAGAGAGGGAACAGTTTTTTAATTCTTTTGGAAGGGAGTTTCAGAGGCAGAGTGCGATCACAGAAAAGGTCCCCTCTCTCATTCCCACCAGCGGTGCTTGAGACAGGGGTGAGACCGAGAGCCGGGCCTTCTCTGCAGATTGCAACACTCCAGCTGGTTTGTATACAGAGAGGTGGTTCTGCAAATAGTCTGGGCCTAAACCGTTTAAGGCTTTATAGGTAACAACCAGTCCTTTGTATTTAGCCCAGAAGCAGATCGGCAGACAATGGAGCAGCTGCAACATGGGAGTTGTCCTCTCATGGTACAGCACTCTGGTTAGTAACCTGCTGCCTTATCCTGGTCACACATACTTCATTCACCTAAATAAAATTGATTTTTTTTGTTCAAACAAGCATAGGAAAGTTTTGGGTGGGGTAGGACACAGTGAGCATTCTTGTTTCACTCAATAGATATAATTACTGTAATAATGAGAAACACTGAACGAGGCGTAACTTGTTGAAAGAGTTTTTAAATATTTATTCAAAGAGAACAGCAGTATGATACATTTTGACCATTACCTAAGCAGTGATTCTCTCAATAAAATACACACATAGCAATATTTTAATTACTGTAAATGTACAGCAAGGAATAAGTGTTACTCAGCCAAAGTAAAGCCCCTTAAAAATAGTACTGATTTTAATGCTTAAAATCATATTCTTAAATCTCTTCCAGTTAAAACATTAGGACCTGAAAAGGCATAAAAGGCATTCTCCATCTGTCCTGAGGAGCTTTAATAGTTTCATTATGTTTTATTTCATGGTCTTTTTGTACCCTAAATTCATTTCCAAGTGCAAAGTATTTGCACACAAATACTTTGTCATCCTAAAAACTGTCATTCAACAAATACAAGCCTTTATTTTTTATGTCTGAACAGTGGTCAAAAGTTGATATGTGTCTTGTCATTTGTATAAATTTTGCACAAAAATAAATAAATTCCATCTTTTAGGCTTTGGATGTTATTTCATTTCTAATGGCAGTGGTGTATATACATTCTGAAAAAAAGAAAAAAAATGTGCCTGCACTGGAAAGTACATTAAAAATGTGGAAGAGCAACAAAAGGAAGGGCGACAGAGATGTGTTGTGCACTATGTGTTACTAAAATAGCTCCAAGTAAAATGCTGGTGCTTCTAACCCATGTAACTTAATTACCTCATTTTCAATGGCAAGTATTAGAGCAGGGGTCCTCAAACTAAGGCCCGCGGGCCGGATACGGCCCTTTAAGGTCATTTACCCGGCCCTCACTCAGGGTCAACCTAAGTCTGAAACGACTTGAAAGCACACAACAACAATCCTATCTCATCAGCCAAAAGCAGGCCCACACTTCCCATTAAAATACTAAAAAGTTTATATTTGTTAAATTTGTTCTTCATTTTAATTATTATATTGTTTTTAAACGTTTTTTGCACTGGAAATAAGATATGTGAAGTGTGCATAGGAATTAATTCTTTTTTTCTTTCAAATTATAATCCGGCCCTCCAGAAATTTGAGGGACTGTGACCTGGCCCTCTGTTTAAAATGTTTGAAGACCCCTGTATTCGAGGGATGGTGTTCCCACTGCATCAAGAACCCCTTTTCCTTATAAATTAACAAATTATCCATCTTTAGTGCACAACACATATTACTTCAATGTTCTTTGGGCATATCAACACTAAACTATAAACGTTTTCTAGCTATTTTAGTAACATTTGTGCAAATGTAGACTGGTGGCACTGGTGACTTGTGGTATCTTCCCAAGGGGACGAGGCCATCTTCCCTGGACCACACAGTGCCGAGTCCCCAAGGAAAATTAAAATTGACACCAGTCTCCAAGAAACATATTGACCACTTGAAATGCTCCAAACATATTGAACTGTTTTTAAAACTACCAGCATTATATTGGAGACTCACCAGAGCATCATCTAAATGAGCCAGTTTTGCTCCAGTTGAACTCATAGAGTTAGCAGCAAAGTTTTTTTTTCTGACACAGAGATAAAATTATGGGAAAGCTTTATCTGCTTCACTGTTTTGTGTTACACTACTGGCAAAAGCACAGGAGCAAAATTAGATTTTGGATTCCATCTGGTAAATGTATTTAATCAGGTGAAATAATGGGTGAAACCCAAGTATATCCTAGAGAGTTTGTGGGTGGTTCTACCCAGACACTATAATCCAGTTTGGAAGTGGATTAAAACAAAATGGTTTAGCTGTGCAGCACCTACAAGAAAACATCCTAGTTTGAGGCTGGACTGATGGCCACAATACACCGGTTTTGAGGCTGGAATGATGGCCACAATATCTGCTGAATTCAGATTGAAACTGAACCCAGAAACTGCAGTTTTTATAATTAATACGTTGGAAAATGCAGGTTTTTCCCCCTTAACCAGTCCATTGAGATGTGCACATATACATATTCTTTTTAGTTTGGGATCACCCCAGTTTTGAGCCCTACATGGGATACACTCTATCATAAGCTGTAGGACATTATCTGGCTTGTTCCAGACTTTCTGATGAGGTTTTTTTTAAAACCACATTGTTTCTGGCTTGATCCACACCACAACACAACACGCATTGGGGGTAAGCATTTTGTGGACACACTGCGCTTAAGCTGACTTCAAACGGCATTGTAGTATCTGTGTAGAGCCACCTTGCGTTAATTTCTTTCAAGAAGAATACTCAAGAATCCCATAGGACAGTGGTTCTCAATCTATGGGTACCCAGGTGTTTTGACCTACAACTCCCAGAAATCCCAGCCAGTTTATGAGCTGTTAGGATTTCTGGGAGTTGAAGGCCAAAACATCTGGTGACCCACAGGTTGAAAACCACTGCCATAGGACCTAAAAGAACACGAAATGTGGTGTGTAGGACTTTAGTGTCTACGTTGTAGGACTGTACTGTCTCTACATTTTCAGGTTGGACAATAGATATTGGTAAAAGTTAGTGTTACTAAAAATTAGTACAATCTCTTTGTGTAGACTGATAACCATTTTGCTTCTGTCACACTTTTCCACAATTCCTCCTTCAACTGTAACTCACAACAGATATACAAACTTCCATATATGTCTTAAGGACAATTATTCCTTTTAAGGCATATCTATACGAAGATAGATAGATAATAGGMGTGTAAGAGTCAGCAAATACCCATGCCATTTTCAGTCCTGTTTTCGGCTYCCCCCTCGTTTTGTTTACCAGTAAGTTCCTGAAGTTGAGGAACAGAGGGCAAGGGGGGGGGGGAGGTCTGATTTTGTTTCCATAAGATTCTTTCTATTGGGGCCAATGGGGAAACTTTAGAGGCTAATTTGTATACCGCCTTGAGTCGCCAAAAGGTGGTATACAAGTATAGTAAATAAATTTCTCCATCGTTTTTAGGCCTATCAGCATGAAACATGCCTCAGTTGTACCATCGCAGAGATTAAGATCCTCTGGGGAGGCCCTGCTTTTCGTCCCGCCATTGCGATTGGTGGGGACGAGAGACAGGGCCTTCTTGGTGATTGCTCCCTGGCTATGGAACTCCCTTCCTGGTGAGATCAGGTCGGCCCCTTCCCTCCTGTCCTTCAGAAGGATTGAAAAACTTGGCTGTGGGACCAAGCTTTCGGGACAGGGCAATYAAGCGGCAYTYGGAAAGYTGARKYGGCCAATTYGATTTGARGRGGATGACTAGGACGGTTTTAAATGGTGTATTTTAATATTMTGARAAATGTTTTTTAATGTTTATGTATGTGTATGTGAATRTGTGTCCCGGCARTGAATGTTTGCCYTGTATATMRTGTMCTCCYRCCMGAGTCCCCTTCGYGGTGAGAAGGYCGGAATATAAATYTTTTAAATAAATAAATAAATAAATAAACATTTGTGACTGCAAGCCTGTTATTTTTTTAGAATGTTTCACCAATCCACTGATTTTTTGAGAAATGTTTAAAGTTTTTACCATAACATTTAAAAAAAACACAAGAGGAGGTTCTGGGATTTGAAGTTACAAGTGCACGCCACAAGGGGGGGGGGAGGAGAATGGACACAGTCAACTAGGCCTCTGATTGGCTGAAAAAGAAAGCAAGAAATACACACACAACTCAACTCCTATCATGCTCCAGGAGGGAACACAGAGGCTCCTCCAATGCCCACACTACACAAAGTGCTGCTGGGAAAGCGAGTTCCTATTTGCCTCAAGTGGGCACTGAGAGGGGGGCTTCGGGTAGGGATGGAGAAGGTTGCTGGGGAAGAAAAAAGAGGAGGAGCTGCAGCTTACCTGATTTGTAAGGCTGACCAGCCCACACGCGGCTGCCTTAGGTAAAAGGCCACTCAGCCCCATTAGCTCCCATTAGCTGAAAAGATCCGGCTCCTGTGATCTATATCAGCGAAGGCTTTGGTTGGCCCCCGTTAGGCTCGTTTCCGGGGATTCAGCAGCCGCACCCCCTGAATCCAGTACACCAAAATAAGATTGTGCATACCCCTAATAGATAGATGGATATTCTGCTTTATACTAGTTTATTGCTCATGGCCTCCTTTCTGACAGAATACTAGGAATTGCAGCAAGATGAGAGTAATGGCACATAATGTTAAGCCCCACTTATGGTGCTGCAGTTCTCAGTGTTCTCTGTAGAGAGGGAGTCAATAATTCATCTGCAGTAAATATATCCTTTTGGGATCACACATCTGTATGCAGCGAACTAGAAGATGTAAAACTGCCTCGCTTATTGTGCCTAAACTGACAAAAGCTGGCAGCTCGATTTCTCCTTTCTTTTCTGTCGCTCCTACTACTTTGCTTGTCTTGCCTTATAAAGTTTTCTATCAGTTTCAATTTCTCATGTTCTTCCTTCAGAAAGAAGTCAACCAGCACACTCTTCTCCTTCTTGATCTGTTCGCTGATATCCTTGGGAATATCTGGGATCATCCAGTCAACCAGCAAGCTAAGGAACATTACCAGGTTCTGTCAGGAAATAAACAAATGAATTCATATATAAGCAGGAGATGGATGGCTGCCAAAATGATACGTTATCAAGCACGTTAACATTAACACTGCTAACTAGGCTTATTTGATCCACACACACACAAAAAGCCTCAATTTTCTTCTAAAGGACAGGAGGGAGGTGGCCAACCTGATGTGCCAGGGGTTCAAATTCAACTTAAGAAAAAAAAAACTACAGATCCTATCTTGTTTGTAACTTGGGGATTGGTTGCATTTGAAAATTTTAGGAAATGGTTTTTCTCAAGTGTTGGGAAATGCTAACAAAGAGAATCCTGGATGGGTGAGTTTGTGACTTATTTTATATGAAAAACATGTAAAATTGGCAAAAAAAAATACCACTTTTTGTTTCATTGTATAGAATAAGTTCCAAGCTGTCAATAATCTTTTCAAACAGAAGTTTTTGAGAACTTTCTTGCAAAGAGGTGAGCATTGTCAATTTCTTCTTGTGGGAATGAAATTTATGAAGATTTATATGCTTACAAAGTGCAGATTTCCCATATATAGCAAAAGAAAAGAATACATTGCTCATTCTTTCATAATTGTTCGCTGTTGAACTTTACTGAGTTCTCCCTTGAATGGTTGCTGGAAATGCATCATTTTCTATATGACAATCATTCTCTACTCAACTGGGACCAGTCCTTCGGGCAATCAGGTTAAAGGACAATTGATAATGTATATTGATTATGGCATGAAAAAGGATTTGGATAAGTTAAGTGAAGTAGTCATTAGTAGATGGCTAGCTAAACAGCCACCAGACGGGCAATAGCTAATCAGAGTGTAAGTAGACTGTTTTAATTTTTATTTATTAATGTTCATGTATAATTGTTATATTTGTTATTCTGTATTTTATGATGTGGCATTGAATTATTGCCAATTGTAAGCTGCCCTGAGTCCCCCTAGGGGTTGAGAAGGGCGGGGTAAAAATGTTCGAAATAAATAAATAAAAATAAATGTATTTAATATACTTGGTTGATCCACAAAAAGAATGGTTCAAAACTCGTTTCGGATTTCGGTAGTTCGATTCAAAAGTCAATTCCGATTTTCAAAGAATTTTTTCCCCAAAACTTTTCAAAACTTCTGAGACTGCCAAATGTTTTTATTAATGGTGTGAAAGTGTTATTTCCTGTTTCATTGGGTGGTCTTTACTTTGAAAGTAGTTATTTTACTCCAGAAGTGGGGAAAAGCAAGCGGAGGAAATTCCTTCCTTCTCTAGTTTAAAATTTGCTTCTCTGGCTTTAAAACTGGCTTCTCTGGCTTGAGATGAGACCAGGAAATTCCTTCATTCCCTGGTTTAAAACTGGCTTCTCTGGCTTGAGCCGAGGCCAGGGACCATAAGCGGGGGAAAGCTGAATAATTTCCGACTCACTTCATGAGTAACAAAAATGGCGGAAAAAGCTTTGGAAGGGCAAAGGGACTTCCGGATTTCTTCTAAATCACTTCAAAAACATAAATTTTCTGACTTTATTCCAAATTACAAAGATACAGATGGTACCTAACCATGCCTACTGCTAACATTATCAAAAAACCTCAATATTTCTGAAACATTTATCTCAAATTCCCTTTCATGAGATAACCTGCAGATAACTAAAATATCAAGTGAAAGTCAGAAATCTTACCAATTGCTACCCAATAAAGGCTAATCTAGAAATGGAAAAGTTTCTGAAAGTATTTTTAGTTCATTTGATTTTCCTTGCAAATCCCCGAGTTTGGCATCCAAACTCTTTCTTGAAATAGCTTAGGTTTCCCTCACTTCTCCCTCATTTGTGTTCTTCCTTTTCCCACTGATCACGTGTTAGAAATTGATTTTCACCAATATCTGTTAAGCTGTTCTTAATTATTATTCAGGAATTTTAGAATTTTAATTTGGGAATTGTATCAAACTTCCTTTATTGCATCAGGCAACTGATGTGTCTGGACCATTTATTGTTCACTTTGACTGGAAATGTCCAACTGTTCAGAATCTCAAAGAAACATATTCATTTCTGATAAATGAGATGCTGTTGAATTGGACCTTCAATCAAGTCCAATTGAAAGAACTAGACTTTCTGAATGTCTTGTACCGTCTCTTCATTAGTAACTTCACAAAATTCTGGATCATTCAAAACACTAACCTATGAATGTTTTTTGAGAAGTAAATTCACCTGAGTTTAACGCAACTAAAGTCATTTGCACACAATGCATTTTGAATGGAATGGAGATAGACTTATCATTAGCAAGCAGGGAACTTATTCCATGGTGTTACTGCTGTTCTGTTTTTCCCTGGCAGGGGTGAAGTGGGAGGCAGGGATTACCATCAAAAATAATGCTTCTTGGATTATGTCATGGTATTGTTCTGAGGTCTTGTTTTTTTTAACTAGTGTGCAATATATATTTTAGGAAGGCAAATACAATTTAATAGGCCTCAGTGAAACCTGGTGGGATTAGTCTCATTGCTGGTACTTAGTAATGGAAAGGTATAACCTTTTCCAAAAATATAGACCAAACAGAAATGGAGTATGAGTAGGACTGCATGTCAAGGACATGACTTAGTGAATGCCGAGAGGTTGAGAGCCTTTGGATAAAAAATAATGCAGAGAGAAACAACAGTGGTACATCAATAAGAATATAGTGTCTAAACCAGTTCACTAAATAATACCACTCTATTTTGCTTTGTTCCGACCTCGCCTAGAATAATACCGTGTGCAGTTCTAGGTACCACATTCAAAAAAGATATTGACAAGTCAGAATGTGTCTAGAGAAGGGTGGCCAACATGATAAAAGATCTGGAAATCATGTTCTATTAGGAATGGCTGAGGGATCTGAGTAAAGGCTGAGAGGGGAAATTATATTCATGTTTAACTACCATATTTATTTTATTTTCATAGAATCATAGAATCATAGAACCAAAGAGTTGGAAGAGACCTCATGGGCCATCCAGTCCAACCCCCTGCCAAGAAGCAGGAATATTGCATTCAAATCACCCCTGACAAATGGCCATCCAGCCTCTGCTTAAAAGCTTCCAAAGATGGAGCCTCCACCACACTCCGGGGCAGAGAGTTCCACTGCTGAACGGCTCTCACAGTCAGGAAGTTCTTCCTAATGTTCAGATGGAATCTCCTCTCTTGTAGTTTGAAGCCATTGCTCCGCGTCCTAGTCTCCAAGGAAGCAGAAAACAAGCTTGCTCCCTCCTCCCTGTGGCTTCCTCTCACATATTTATACATGGCTATCATATCTCCTCTCAGCCTTCTCTTCTTTATGCTATCATATTTATATACCACCATTCTCAGCCCGAGGGTGACTCAGGGTGGTTTACAAATGGCACAATTCGGTGCCCGCAATAACATAAAAAAATTAAATCATTTCACATAAGTAAAATTCAATAAATAATAAAACCAATAAAATATAGATCCTCTGCGCCTCATTACTATTTACTATTTACTCGAATCTAATGCTCCCCCCTTTTTTTTGGCTAAGTTACCTTGCCAAAATTACAGTGCACATTAGATTCATGTAATTCTTCAAACTTAGTGCTGAGCCAAAGCTAAGGGGGAAGCTTTTTCAAGAGCATCTAGAATGCCTACTTGAGGGATGTAATATGCAATTTAGTTGTCACAACTCAATACTATGCAATCTTGGGATTTGTAGTTTGGTGAGGTATCCACATTCTTTGGCTGGGGAGTTTGCTACAATACAGCCCCCATGAATCCATAGTATTGAATCAAGACAGTTAAAGTAGGTAATGATGATGATGATAATAATAATACTTAAAAAAAAACGAAGTATGGATTGTCGATGTTTCAATCCCAGGTGACAGCAGGATTGAAAAGAAATAACTGGAAAAGCTGACATGATATGAGGATTTAAAGATTAAACTACAAAGACTCTGGCACAAGCCAGTCAAGGTGGTCAAAGTAGTGATCAGCACACTGGGTGTAGTGCCTAAAGACCTTGGCCTGTACTTAAACACAATTGGCGCTGACAAAATTACCATCTGCCAGCTGCAGAAGGCCACCTTACTGGGATCTGCACACATTATTCACTGATACATCACACAGTCCTAGACACTGTGATCCAATACAACAGCCAGCAGAGTGTCTGCTGTGGACTCATCTTGTTGTGTTTCAAATATAATAATAATAATAATAATAATAATAATAATAATAATAATAATAATAATAAATCTGTCAACTGCAAAAGGCCACCTCACTTGGATCTGCGCGCATCATTCGAAAATACATCACACAGTCTTAGACGCTTGGGAAGTGTTCAACTTGTGATTTTGTGATACGAAATCCAGCATAGAGATCTCGTTTGCTGTGACATAATGTGCTTTTGTGTCAATAATAATAATAATAGTAATAATAATAATAGCAGTAGCAGCAATCCCAGAGACCATGCAGTCCAACCCTTTTCCACCTCGCAGGAAAAGCACAATCAGTGCACCCCAAATGGATGGCTGTCTAGCCTTTGTAGTAGTAATAGTAATAATAATAGTAATAGTAATAATAATAAATAGCAGCAGTGTGAGTTGTTTTTTCTAAACTAAAACCTCAGTATTCAGATTAAATTGCTGTGTTGGCACTTTGCAATAAATAAGTGAGTTTTGGGTTGCAGTTTGGGCACTTGGTTTCTATAAAGTTCACCATCACTGGACTGGGACACTGAGCAAAGGATTCAAATTACAGGAAAGAAGATTCCACCTAATCATTAGGAAGAACTTTCTGGTGGTAAGGGCTGTTTGGAGGTGGGTCATGCTGCCCTGGAATGTGGTGAAGTCTCCTTCTCTAGAGGTTTTTAAGCAGTGGCTACATGTCCCTGAATAGCGGGGGTTGGCAGGGATGTTGTGAGCTCTTCCAACTCCATGATTCTATGTTTTGACTTGTTCCAGTCCTTCCTAATTAGATCAAACCTGATGCTCAAAGAATTATACCCAGTGTCAGGGCATTTGTACTTTGCCCAGAAACTAATCAGTAGCCAGTTGAGTGATTTTAGAATAGATGTAATATCCTAAATGTTCCTATGACCAATTTGGCTACCTGATCTGGCTGCCAACTTCAGAAACTAACTGAAGTTTCTGAACTTGGTACAGATGTAGCCAATGTACAGCACATTGTAGAAGTAGGGGTTGTTTTGGATATGCATACTATGAGTGGAAATCCAAGGTTGGCTTTGTCTTCATTCTCAGTTTATGTTTGCTAACACTGGTGGGAGGAAGGATTGGGCACACAAAGGACCATCCCGTTGTTTCCTTGATTCTTCCTTTTTAAAAAAACAAATCTATCTATCTATCTATCTGTCTATCTGTCTGTCTGTCTGTATAATGGTGCAGTGGGTTAAACCCCTGTGCCGGCAAGACCGACAGGTCGCAGGCTCAAATCCAGGGAGAGGCGAATGAGCTCCCTCTATCAGCTCCAGCTCCTCATGTGGGGACATGAGAGAAGCCTTCCACAAGGATGATAAGACATCAAAAATCATCCAGGCGTCCCCTGGGCAATGTCCTTGCAGACGGCCAATTCTCTCATACCAGAAACGACTTGCAGTTTCTCAGGTCGCTCCTGACACGACAAAAAAAAAATGGCACAGTGACAAAGTAGCTCAGTAAGACTCAGTAGGACTGAGAAACATTTTTCTAAACAGTCATATTATTTTATTATTACTATTTCATTATAAATAATATAAAATAATATTATCATCATAATATTAAAATAATAATAAATAGTTCAATAATCCAGGTATTACTGTCCGTCAGAAGCAAATTGGTGTGAGAGAACTGGCCGACTGCAAGGATGTTGCCTAGGGGATGCCCGGATGTGTTACCATCCTGTGGGAGGCTTCTCCCCTATGGGAAGCTGGGGCTGACAGACTGGAGCTCACCCCATCTGGTCAGCAGTTCAGCTGGCACAAGGGTTTAATCGATTGCGCCACCGCGACTCCTTATTCTGCTACACTCCAATGGGAAGAAAGCCCATTGGAGGGTGCTGAAAGAATGTCACACTAGCACAACTTCCACAGTGTTTTCTTTTCTTTTAAAGGCAGGAAACATGAGGCAAGAAAAGTGATGACAGCCCCCTGGGAAACAGCCAAATAAGGATGAGGTTGGAGAAATATTTGTGGGGAAAATATGTACTGGGCAGCGATCCAAAATTGCCCCCAGCATGGAAAAACTGAAACAGGTACAATTGCCATAAGCACAGGACCAAAACTGCAAAAGGCAGCATTACTATCTGATATTATGGTGCTCCTGCTTTATTATTTATCATTATATTATCTTTTAACTCCCACTTTCTTAATGAAACAAGGGGCTAGAGAGTGAAAAGAATTGTGACTTCAGTTGTGCTAATTTTAAGTCGAGAACAAGACAAGTGAATGCACATACAGAGGTTTGAATAGATATTCTTTCTTTAGAAAACCAGAAATATTTCAGGATTAAGGGATATGGGAGGCATTTACTCTGTGAATACATTTTTATGGATTCAATTGGTATGCACCTTCCACAAGTAATCAGAACATTTCTACATCACCAGCCTTTCACAGAACTAAAAGAGGTTGACAGGCTTGCAGATTTGGCAATAATCATTCATTATAAATACGCACAGAAGAATACACACATTTCCAAAATGCACATAAACACTGTCCTATGATTGTCCATGGACAAAAAAATGTTTACAACTGAAAATATCGAGAAAAAGAATTGTTCTAAAGTACTAAAGTATATCTATGGTTCTAAATGGTTCTAAAGTACTTACAAAACTAAAGTTCTGGTGGTGAAAATTTCAGAAGTCTATCAAAACTTTCAAATTTCATTAATATTTCATTATTGGCAATTTTTATGACAGAAACAATTAGGAACTGCCATTTATAATGACATTTGGATAGACCACATCTGGAATATTGTGTCCAGTTCTGGGCACCACAATTCAAGAGAGATATTGACAAGCTGGAATGTGTCCAGAGGAGAGCGACTAAAATGATAAAAGGTCTGGAGAACAAGCCCTATGAGGAGTGGCTTAACGAGCTGGGCATGTTTAGCCTGAAGAAGAGAAGGCTGAGAGGGGATATGATAGCCATGTATAAATATGTGAGAGGAAGCCACAGGGAGGAGGGAGCAAGCTTGTTTTCTGCTTCCCTGGAGACTAGGACGCGGAACAATGGCTTCAAACTACAAGAGAGGAGATTCCATCTGAACATGAGGAAGAACTTCCTGACTGTGAGAGCCGTTCAGCAGTGGAACTCTCTGCCCCAGAGTGTGGTGGAGGCTCCTTCTTTGGAAGCTTTTAAACAGAGGCTGGATGGCCATCTGTCAGGGATGCTTTGAATGCATATATTCCTGCTTCTTGGCAGGGGGTGGGACTGGATGGCTCTTCCAACTCCATGATTCTATGATTCTATGATTTTAAAGTTTTGTTAGAGTTCTGAAATTTTCACCACCAGAACTTTAGCAACACTGTAGAAGCAAAGCACCAGCGACCCCTAGTCTTCATCACCAGAACTTTAATTTTGTAAGTACTTTAGAACCATTTAGAACCATGGATTGTGTATGCCTAATATATATAGGTAAAGGTTTTCCCCTGACATTAAGTCCAGTTGTGTCCAACTCTGGAGTGTGGTGCTCATTTCCATTTCTAAGCCAAAGAGCTAGCGTTGTCCGTAGACATCTCCAAGGTCATGTGGCCAGCATGACTGCATGGAGTGCTGTTACCTTCCCGCCAGAGCGGTACCTATTCATCTACTCACATTTGCATGTTTCGAACTGTTAGGTTGGCAGAAGCTGGGGCTGACAGCGGAAGCTCACGCCGCTCCCGGATTTGAACCTGCGACCTTTCGGTCAACAAGCTCAGCAGATCAGTGATCTAACCCACTGCGCCACCGGGAGCATACACACACACACACACACAAACTGGAATCTCTTTGTAGAACAAGTCACTATTCAAATATTAGGTTAAACATTGTGTACGCATAAAAATCATGCTTAGACTCGAGAAACAAAAACACAATTGTAATAATTTTGCAGATTTTTATGGGTATATATGACTTGCTTTCTCTATATTTTTGTGTCACCTGACTCAGTCACAGCATGAGGATATGTGTGTGTGTGTGTGTAAAGCTAGCTTCATGTCTCATAGAGCTTGTATGAGTTAACTTCTTTAAAGCTTCTTGGAGGATAGAAATTACACTAGGAGGTAATTCTGCAACTCCAAAAAAGGACATAAAGCAAGTTGGCCTATAACCAACACTTTTACTGGATGCTTCAGATGGTTGCACAGCTGACCAAACTTTTGCGAGAGTCATTTCTCACATTTGCAGAATATGGACGTTCAAAATGGGCCTGATAGTACCAGAATTATGGTGAAATTTGACACCACATTAGGAGTTTTGCTGGAAGCCTAAAAACAGGAAATGCACTCATTTTAAAACTTTTTTAATATTTCGTACATCTATATACTGGTGACTGAATAGATTACCAAATTTTTTCAATGTTCTCTCTCTCTCCCCCACCCCAGTAGAGCAGACAATCCATCTTTTCCAGAGGAATGGGACACATAACACACACAAAGTTTTCAGATTCAGTAGTAAAATGAGAATTTATACATATTGCATGTTGCAGACAGCATTATATGCAGCAATAAAATAAAATAATATATCAAAAAGATACCTGAAAAATAATGACAAATGCCAAACGGGCTGCAAGAACAGACCAGTACTGCTTGGAAAATTCATATTGGTTTTCAGACCATGGTGGTTCCCTATAATCCTTGAACCTGTAAAATGAAATCACTGTAAAATTATATATTTGATAGCAGCATCTGCTCTACACAGATCTATAAATAATACTTTATTAGACAGTTCTCTGTCAATTATGTAATTAGAATAATGTATTTCCGACAAAAGTAGGCTTTGGGGATTATCCTTCAAGATTGTTTAAGACAGATAATTTTGAATACTGTCCATAAAATTTAACATTTAACAGTTACTTCCACACTTTGTAGGACTGCAGTGTTTCGTCTATATTTGGGTTACATTGGTTGGTTAAATATTTCGACTAACTACAGATGCAAATAAGCAGCACATTATTAAAATAAGTATATATCTTCTATTTGTTTCTAAATAGTTAAAGAAAAAATATAATATTTCTGTTCTAGAAAGGCAATATATGATGTATATTTAAAGAGACTACGGTCTAGAACAGGGGTCCTCAAACTTTTTAAACAGAGGGCCAGGTCACAGTCCTTCAAACTGTTGGAGGGCCGGATTATAATTTGAAAAAAAAACCCATGAATGAATTCCTATGCACACTGCACATATCTTATTTGTAGTGCAAAAAACACTTAAAAACAATATAATAATTAAAATGAAGAACAAATTTAACAAATATAAACTTATTAGTGTTTAATTGGGAAGTGTGGGCCTGCTTTTGGCTGATGAGATAGGATTGTTGTTGTTGTTGTTGTGTGCTTTCAAGCTGTTTCAGACTTAGGTTGACCCTGAGCAAGGGCCGTATCTGGCCCTCAGGCCTTAGTTTGAGGACCCCTGGCCTAAAACTTGAAGCAATGGATTCAAAATGCAGCAAAAAACATTCTAGCTAAACATTACGAAAAACCTCCTGACAGTAATGGCTTTTTGATAGTGGAATATGATGGGTTGTTATAGGTCTTTTGAGTTGTATGGCCATGTTCTAGAAGCATTCTCTCCTAGAATCATAGAGTTGGAAGAGATCTCATGGGACATCCAGTCCAACCCCCTGCCAAGAAGCAGGAATATTGCATTCAAAGCACTCCTGACAGATGGCCATCCAGCCTCTGTTTAAAAGCTTCCAAAGAAGAAGCCTCCACCATACTCCGGGGCAGAGAGTTCCACCGCTGAACGGCTCTCACAGTCAGGAAGTTCTTCCTCATGTTCAGATGGAATCTCCTTTCTTGTAGTTTGAAGCCACTGTTCCGTGTCCTAGTCTCCTCCTCTAGAACATGGCCATAGAACCCGAAAAACCTACAACAACCCAGTGATTCCGGCCATGAAAGCCTTCTACAATACAGTGGAATATGATGTTTGGAAGTGTGGCAGAGTCTCCTTTTCTGCCACACTTTAAGCAGAGTCTGGATGGCACTCTGTTGGCAGTGCTTGGATTGTGTGTTTCTGCGTGGACTGTGGGCTGAGAGGGGCAGTCAGGGGCGGCTCAACCCATTACGCAAAGTAAGCATTTGCAGTATAGTTGATTTTGCCCAGGGGTGCTCTTGAGGCGCTCTTGGGGGAAAACAGACCTTGACATATGCAAGTTGTAGTTACTGGGATGTATAGTTCACCTACAATCAAAGAGCATTCTGAACTCCACCAATGATGGAATTGAACCAAATATGGCACACAGAACTCCCATGACGAACAGAAAATATATATCAGTGATCGGTTGGGGGGGGGGGGCAAAATACTGTTTGCTTACCATTGAAAATTACCTAGAGCCGCCTCTGGAGGTGGTATATAAATATAGTAAATAAATAGTAAATAAATGAAATAGGATTGGATTGGATGGCATTTGTGATTTCTTCTAACTCTACGAGTCTATGAATTGGGTATATCTGTCCTAGAAAGCCAACATATGAGATAAATTTAAGGAGACTAGGACTCGAAGCAATGGATTCAAATTTCAGGGGATCCCACCTAAACATTAGGAAGAACCTTGTTAGAGTAAGAGCTGTTCAACAGTGTCCAGAATAAGTGAGTCTCTAGAATAAGTGAAATATAGGGTTGTTGTAGGTTTTTTGGGGCTATATGGCCATGTTCTAGAGCCATTCTCTCCTGATGTTTCGCCTGCATCTATGGCAAGCATCCTCAGAGGTAGTGAGGTCTGTTGGAACTAGGAAAATGGGTTTATATATCTGTGGAAAGTGAAATATAGCTGATGGCTTCAAGATAATGAAACATCCAAATGGTACCCAACAATAAAAGTAGAAGTAGAAGCTGTTTTGGATCCCAGGGTATGTATTTATGTATATATGTACAAATAATTAAATGTCAGGATTACTCTTAAATTCATCAGTCAATGGTTAGTAATGCTGCTTCACCTGCAAAAGGAAACTTCCTGGTGAAATTGTGAGTTTTCCGGCTGTGTTCCAGTCTTAAAATCACTGACGTTGAAGTATGAGAGGGTATGATTGATGAAGCCATGCATAGTTCCATTAAAGCTGTATGCATATTGATAGACAAGGCGTGGAATGAAATCAGAGGTGACAGAAATGACAAATGCCTGGGAGAAAAACAAAACAAAACAAAATGCACATTAACTTGCAAATGTCTGTCATACCTTTGGTGTCACTTTATGGATGGTGGTGGTGGTGGTGGTGGTGGTGATGATAAGAGTTAGGCCAAATAGATTTCCAGCCATCCCTAGGTAAATAAGCAGCATGGAAGTGGTACCAGCTGAACCTTCAACCATTTTTTTTGTTGCTTCCAGAGCTATTTGGAAGACCATCACAAATCCCTCCCTTACAAAGTATTGCATCTGCTTAATAAAAGTATCTGTTTGAATAGCTGGCGGGCGAAGGAGTCTGGTATTTGTTTTATGGCCTTTAAAAATAGATCTTGGAGGGTGTTTTATTACCATTATTTAAGATGTATATATATTTTTTATTGTAAAGGGAGGGTTAATCAGTGAAGCAAGTGGGAACAATAATAGAAGGATGAACTTTGGGCCACTGAACAGAACTGAAATCCAATCCATTTATCCCTAGCATATATGTTATCTGTTCCAGTGATTTCAAATAAAGTGCAAGGTGAGATGTACAAGCACCCAGAGTGCTTTTCTCCTAGCTCAGCAGCTGTCCTCCAAATGTAGGAGGACCTGTCTATTTCTTATACCAAAGCTATGGATTCTTCTCTTTAGGGATGGTTTCCTTATGGCTTCCTTGTTAATTTAACCACTGCTATATTTACTGCAGTTCTTTGAGAGAAACAGAAAGGACTACCAAGCGTCCTTCATCTCCTACATTATCCATTCTCCTCCCTCCTCCTCCTTCTGTTTGGTAGCTTTTATATTGGGTTGTTGTAGGTTCTTCGGGCTATATGACCATGATCTAGAAGCATTCTCTACTGACGTTTCTCCTGCATCTATGGTAGACATCTTCAGAGGTTGTGAGGTCTCACCTCATAACCTCTGAGGATGCCTGTCATAGATGCAGACAAAATGTCATGAGAGAATGCTTCCAGAACATGGCCATATAGCCTGAAAAACCTACAACAACACAGTGATTCCAGCCATGAAAGCCTTCGACAAGCTTTTATATTCTTTGAGAGTATGCATCATAGTGCCTATTTTGATGTCTCAGTCTGTCACTCTGGACCATGGACTACTGGACTGCAACCATAAAAGGCTAATAAACAGATTGTGACCTAAGGCCCATAGCTTAATACTTTAAATGCAGTACACAAATATTCCCATACCTTGGGAAGTCTGATCCGGTCACGGTGGTCCACGCTCTCGTTACATCCCGAATAGACTACTGCAACATGCTCTATGTGGGGTTGCCTTTGAAGACTGTTCGGAAATTTCAACTAGTCCAGTGGGCAGCAGCCAGGTTACTAACTGGAGCAGCATACAGGGAGCACACCACACCCCTGTTGTGCCAGTTCCACTGGCTGCCAGTCCACTTCCGAACACAATTCAAAGTGCTGGTCTTGGCCTATAAAGCCCTATACCAGTGGTTCTCTACCTGTGGGTCCCCAGATGCTCTGGCCTTCAACTCCCAGAAATCCTAACAGCTGGTAAACTGGCTGGGATTTCTGGGAGTTGTAGGCCAAAACATCTGGGCACCCACAGATTGAGAACCACTGCCCTATACGGTTCCAGCCCAGCTTACCTGTCCAAACGTATCTCCCTCTATGGCCCACCTTGTAGCTTAAGATCATCCTAGGAGGCCCTGCTCTTAGTCCTGCCAGCCTCACAAGTGAGCTTGGCGGGAATGAGGGACAGGGCCTTCTTGGCAGTGACCTCATGCCTGTGGAACTCGCTCCCCAGAGAGATCAGGTAGGCTTCTTCTCTCCTTTCTTTTAGGAAGAAGGTTAAATCATGGCTCTGGGACCAAGCCTTTGGATAGTAAGCATGATAGCACCTTGCATGTTAAACTGGACTGAAATTGGCTATATGGTTAATAACAATGTTGTTAACATGTTTTTAACTTAATGTTTTATTTTACTGTTTTAAAATGTTAATCTTTGTGTTTATTTTGTATTATATTGTGGCTTTGAATTGTGGCCAATTGTAAGTCTCCCTGAGTCCCCCCTCGGGGGTTGAGAAGGGCGGGATAGAAATATTGGAAATAAATAAATAAATTCAAATCAGATTGGCATGACTGAATGAAATGTGCTGTTTTATTGCACAAATAAGCACAAACCCCATACTTACATTAATTATAACTGAAAATTTTCCAATGCCACTCAAAACGTTAAACCAAATCCCTGTAAGAGAAGATGAAATATCTTATTTCTATTCCAGTCCTGGGTGCTAACCAAATTTTGACCATCATCTTTTCTTTTTCCATAAATTTACTTTTATCATTATTTAAAGTAAAATCATTTTTTTTTAAAAAAAAACATACCTATATCTTTTGCTCTGACTGTATCAGGTCTTCTCAGTTCACTGACAAACTTTTTGGCATCAAGCCGAATTTCAATGACATTATTGAGCAAGGCAAACACTGGGGCCAGAGGAAAGGAAGCAACAAAGAGTGTGACGAAGCCAAACTGTATAACTAGAAGACAAAAAAAAAAAGGTCCTCAGATTGTTTGGCAAAGACTAAAAAGTTAATAGTTTTTAAAATAATCATATACAGTATGTTCCCATATATTAAATAAAAATCAAAATTGTGGAATACACTGTACAGTATATGATCCAGAAATGATCCAGCTTTTCCCAGCTTCTGGGCTGGAGCCTGGGCAGAGTTTAAAAACAAACTGGATGTATTTCCTGCCTTTCCTTTCCCTTTGCTACTCGGTTGGAGCCTGGGCAGAGTTTAAAAACAAACTGGATGAATTTCCTGCCTTTGCTTCCCCCCCCCCCTTTCTTGAGTAAAACTTTCAAAGTCAAGACCACCCAATGAAACAGGAAATAACACTTTCAAACCATTAAGGAATGATTCAGAAGTCTCGGAAGTTTCGGAAAATATCAAACATTTTTTCTGTGAAAATCTGAATTGACTTCCGAATCAAACCACCAGTGTCCCCTACATCCGAAACGAGTTATGAACCATTTTTAAAAAATCAAACAAGCCTATTGACTACTACTCATAATAGAAGCAGGGCCTGCACTGAAACCTTAGTATGTTTCCAAGTCAAATTCTAAGTGCTGTTTCTGACTTATAGAGCTCTACATGGATTCCCAATATTTAGCAATGTTGTTTGATTGACCATCAAGGATGACCAAGTGGTCAATGGGGAGGAATTTCAGGAGCCATTATTTCACCATATTTGCAGAACCACATGTTGAAAACACAAGTTTAGAAGACGAAGACGCTAGTTGGACTTTCTCCTACAGTCAGCTTTTTTCATGAACATTGTCATTTCCTCATTTGTGTAAATCTAGAGATTGTGCAGAAGTTAATTTTCATTGGAGGGGAAAAAACTCTAAAAATGCAGTGCCTGGTTTCTCATATAGTTCTCAGTAGCCTCCACATGATGTCTTAAAAGTGCACTTTCAAATTCTGAGCCAACATGGAGATTATAGAAAAATGTAGCTCTCTCTTTAGTTGTGCCAATCTCCAAAATTAATCCCAGAAGGCTTAGAGACCCTGAATTAATTCTATTCCTGTTTATATAGATGCAAGTATTTTCACTGTCTCCAGAAGGAAAAAGAATTAATTCTGTTGTTTTGGCATTTCAAAAGGTTTCTAGTTCAGTACTATATACCCTTTTCATTCTCATTCAGACTATGCAGAACAAAAATTAGAGCAGGAATATTTTCATAGCAATTGAAGAGAAAGATCACTTTTGGAAAATGCCATATGAGATTGCTTGGGGGATAATAGTCTTTGCCTTCAGCATATTTATTCGTTTTATTTATTACAGGAATTTCAATCTTGCCCTGTAAACACATTCCCAGGGCAAAGATTTTGTGCATACAGTGCTTGGGTTCACTATTTTTAAGTCTGTCTGTTTTATTTTAGTGTTCACAGAGGAAGCGCCAACCAATCCTTGCTGCTGCTTGGAAGGAAACTGTAAGGATAGTATGAGCATTGGCCTTGTTCAGTCTCTGGGGAATTGTGTTCCCATGATGACAAATGTAAACAAGGTTCAGCCAAAGCAAAATGACTTAAAGCTTATAAAATCTGAAGATAATGATAAGATAACCTTATTATTCTATTATAGTTGATAGTTTTTTTTTAAAAAAAAATCTCACAAGGAATTACTCATGGTATTAAAGTGATTACATTTTGCCCTGTGGTATTGTCCAGCATAAATGTTTGATAGGGGGTGGGATAAAGGTGGGAATGAAGAAGGAAATAATTATGGAAGAGTTTAAAGAAATAAAATTGACATGGTTCCATTGTATACAATTAGAACAATAGCTCAAAAATTGGGAAAAAAATAATAGAAATGGAAGCAAACTTAACCAATTTGAACAAATAATACAGAAGGCAAGGGTTGTGGAAGAGCATGAAAATTTGAGAGGAATAACTAGTAAAATATATAAGATAATAATTGAAATAAAGGAAGGAAATACAAATAATAACATCCTTAGAGAGGTTTGGGAAGAAGATTTAGGGATAAAAATAAACGAAACAGAGTGGCAACAATTATGGGGACAAAGAACTTATCAATACGGGTTAAAGAAAATTACTATAAGCTAATATGGAAGTGGTATCTGACACCAGTAAGAATAGCATATATAAATAAAAATAATTCAAAAAATTGTTGGAGAGGGTGTCAAGAACCAGGAACATACATACATATGTGGTGGCAATGTAAATATGTAAATAATTTTTGGGAGAAAGTATTTAGAGAAAGAGAAGACATAATGAATATGAAAATTGAGAAAAGTCCTAGTATAGCTTTATTATCACTATATAACAACAAACAATTGAAAAAGGAGGATAAAGAAGTGATAACAAACTTATTAACAATAGCAAGACTGCTCATAGCAAGGAACTGGAAAAAAGAAATAAATATACAAATAGAGGAGTAGTACAAGGAAGCATGGAAATTGGCAATAAATGATAAGTTGACATGTATATTAAAAGTTAAAAAAGGTATATGGAAACAAAGTGATTTTGATGTTGTATGGGGTAAATTTGTTGTAAATAGTTTAAAAAACAAAGAAGGAAGGTTACCGCCACCAGAAGAAATGAGATTTTGGACAGATGATATGTAAAAGTTGTAGCTTGAAATGGGGGGGAGGGGAGCACAGTGGTGGGGGGGGGGAGGGGGGAAAAATGCTTAAGCAGAAGAAAAAGATTATATGTTAAAGAGGGTGTTGAATAATATGTAACTGCTATAAACAAATGTATAATAAATGTAATAATTATAATAAAGTAATAAAAAATATTTAAAAAAATAAATGTTTGAATCCACACAAGTCTATGGCAACTATACTGACCATATAATGTAGTTTAACTGCATTGAGCTGCATTATATGAGTCTTCCCTTAATGCAGTCTTGCTGTTCATTCGTTCAGTCGTCTCCGACTCTTCGTGACCTCATGGGCCAGCCCATGCCAGAGCTCCCTGTCGGCTGTCACCACCCCCAGCTCCTTCAAGGTCAGTCCAGTCACTTCAAGGATGCCATCCATCCATCTTGCCCTTGGTCGGCCCCTCTTCCTTTTTCCTTCCACTTTCCCCAGCATAATTGTCTTCTCTAGGCTTTTCTGTCTCCTCATGATGTGGCCAAAGTACTTCAACTTTGTCTCTACTATCCTTCCCTCCAATGAGCAGTCGGGCTTTATTTCCTGAGATGGACTGGTTGGATCTTCTAGCGGTCCAAGGCATTCTCAGAACTTTTCCTCCAACACCACAGTTCAAAAGCATCTATCTTCCTTCACTCAGCCTTCCTTATGGTCCAGCTCCCACATGCATAGGTTACTATGGGAATACCATTGCTTTAACTATTCGGATCTTTGTTGCCAGAATGATGTCTCTAATCTTCACTATTTTATCGAGATTGGTCATTGCTCTCCTCCCAAGAAGTAAGTGTCTTCTGATTTCCTGGCTGCAGTCTGCATCTGCAGTAATCTTTGCACCTAGAAATACAAAGTCTGTCACGGCCTCCACATTTTCTCCCTCTATTTTCCAGTTGTCAATCATTCTTGTTGCCATGATCTTGGTTTTTTTGACAAGGCGGTGATCCTTTGCTGGAGTAATGCAGTCTAACCATCACATTAGCCTAGTGCATCCACACAATGTACACAGACTAATGTGATTGAACCCAGGGTAAGATACTTAATCCAGCTTGATCCTGAGTTTTGAAAGCACATGGAAAGGTCTGAATCTTGAATCCTTGGGGCAGTGAGGACTACCATCCTGGATACCAGTGTGGGATCCAGCATAGCATTCCCACAGCCATACTGCACTCCCAAGTCTCAGACAGCCCAGGACGGTGGAACGGCAGTGCTTTCCTGCCCCCTCCCAGCATCACCATTCTCTCCACCCAAGGACAGAAAATCCCCTCTTACCAGCACTGCCTTATCTATACTTTTTATTTTTCCTCCTTATGGCAGCAAAGGAACTTTGGAGAAAAGGAGGGGACGTGGGTACTGGAAGGATGGGAAACTGAGCTCATGTCCAGTCCTGCCAAACTGATTTTGGCATGGCTGAATGTTGGCCTGGCATCTTGCCATGGAGGCAGCTTCGGGCAGCCATACGTAGCCTCCATGCAGCTTGCAACTGGCATTTTAAGAGCCATATTTTGCAACTAAGTGGTCAGGGTCCCGTCTAACACAGCATTATACTGCATTATGTGGCCTATGACATAAAAATTATTATTTTAGTCTTCTTAACTTTGGTTTTTTGGTAGGAAAAATGTGTTATTTTACTAAACATCCCAAATATTGATTATAGAAAATGAAATTCCACATTGAACTGCAGTATTTAAGTCTACGCTGACCATAGAAGGCAGTAATGACAGTGCAGATCAGGCCTGCAAACATGCAGCCTGGGGACTGGATGCAGCCCTCCCAAGGATTTGGTGCATTTAGTATTTCTGTCTAGATCTTGCCCGGTATATCCTTATGCTTATCAGAGAAGGAGATTCTACCACATCTGACGAAGCATATTCCATTACCAAACAGCTCTTACCAAGCTAAACATATTCAGCACCCCAAGCCTCTAAGCCTGGCTTTCGATAGAGACAACCAGAGTACTCACTGCAGGTTTTGATATATTGAATAGTCTGAGAAGGCAAAATGCATAAATTGGACTTTTTTTAAAAAGGTAAAGGTTTTCCCCTGACATTAATTCCAGTTGTGTCCAACGCTGGAGGTTGGTGCTTATCTCCATGTCTAAGCCGAAGAGCCAGCATTGTCTGTAGACACCTCCAAGGTCATATGGCAGGCATGAGTAAGTGGAACGCTGTTACCTTCCAGAGCAGTAACTATTGATCTGCTCACATTTGCACGTTTTTGAACTGCTAGTTTGGCAAAAGCTGGGGCTAACACCTCGCTCCCCAGATTCGAACTGACAACCTTTCAGTCAGCAAATTCAGCAGCTCAGCAGTTTAACACACAGTGCCGCCAGGGGCTCAATTGCACATTTAATTTAAAAAATCATTTAGCTTTGTATACTCAGGTTAAGGAGAGTTGTAAGTCAATGTATACTTTATTGTCTTTCTTTCTAATTCCTTAATATTCTTTTTCCGCATTAACTTTCTTTTCTCGTTTTTTCTTATAAATAAAAATTGTTGAAAAAAAGAGTGACTTGGAAAAATTGAAAAGTTAAATTTATTTTTTATGGGAATAACTGCCGTGATAAAAAACAAATATGTTGCCAAAACTTCCGTTTCACTTTCAAACAATCCCCATCATAAAAATGGAATACTTTTCATTCAATGCCAGAAAGAAATCTCCAGATTCATCTGGCAGGTAAAGAATCCTACAGTAATGTTGGATGCTAAGAAAGAAACCATTAGAAGAGACACTGGGCAGATCTGGCTGAGGGTAACCAACTACTGGGAAGCTGTGAAGAGGCTGCTGTGATCAGGGTGTAACAAAAAGCAAAATTGTATCTCTAAGATCCCATCTATACTGACAGTATAATGTGACTTTGAGAAGACTTGAAACCATGGTGGCTATAAAATGCACACTATCAATGCGCACAATGGAAACAGTACATTTTTAAAAGTTGTAGGAAAATCCTAAGCCACAAAATGTACTGCACAAAGTTGCTTAAACAGAGCAACTTGCCTATTACTACAATCACCTGGATCCTTAAGCATACTAGTAGTAATTTCAATAATTCTGACATTCATTCTCCATTAGTAAAACTCAATAATATATTAAAATATGCTTTACAAAAAAAGTATTCATGGATTTTGAGGAAAAAATATCAGTTTGGTACTAGCATATGGAATGGATATTGAAAGACCTTACTCATCTCCATATATTCTGGAGTCAGCCCAGTGAAAGGTTCCAAGACATAGTCCAGTTCCCATTGCTGAGGTTGTCTAGAAAGATTTGAATCACTTTGTTTTGTCTTTGATCTCTCATCCTTCAGTTTACGAAACAGTTTCTTTAATTTACTGTGGAATTAAAAGAATAGACAATTAATTTGACTAGAAAATTACCTTCTTTTGGGAAAAAAATCTCATTGCTACAGAACTTTCACTTGATTATTTTAAACATGAGAGCTTATCTGTAGATTTCAAGAAATTTAAAACTATGTGTGGTCATTTGTCTGCTCACACACACACATACCTCACTTTGAATGTTATTGTGTACACACAGAATCATAGTATCATAAAATTATAGAACTGGAAGAATCATAGAGTTGGAAGAGACCTCATGGGCCATCTGGTCCAACCCCCTGTCAAGAAGCAGGAAATCGCATTCAAAACACCCCTGACAGATAGCCATCCAGCCTCTGTTTAAAAGCCTCCAAAGAAGGAGCCTCCACTGCGCTCCGGGGCAGAGAGTTCCACTGCTGAACAGCTCTCACAGTCAGGAAGTTCTTCCTAATGTTCAGATGGAATCTCCTTTCTTGTAGTTTGAAGCCATTGTTCCACGTCCTAGTCTCCAGAACAGCAGAAAACAAGCTTGCTCCCTCCTCCATATGACTTCCTCTCACATATTTATACATGGCTATCATGTCTCATCTCAGCCTTCTTTTCTTCAGGTTAAACATGTCCAGCCACTCCTCATAGGGCTTGTTCTCCAGACCCTCCTCTGGACATATTCCAGCTTGTTAATATCTCTCTTCAATTGTGGTGCCCAGAATTGGACACAATATTCCAGGTGTGGTCTAACCAAGGCAGAATAGAGGGGTAGCATGACTTCCCTGGACCTAGACACTATGGTCCTATTGATGCAGGCCAAAATCTCATTGGCTTTTTTTGCCCCTTCATCACATTGTTGGCTCATGTTTAACTTGTTGTCCACAAGGACTCCAAGATCTTTTTCATACATACTGCTCTCGAGCCACGCGTCCCCCATTGTGTATCTTTGCATTTCCTTTTTTCTGCCTGAGTGGAGTATCTTGCATTTGTCACTGCTGAACTTCAGGAACTTCAGGAACCATTAGGTTCAAGTCAACTCTTCAATGCAAGATCTCTAGCTAAAACATACCCAGCAGTGAGCTATCCAGTCTCCTTTTGAAGATATGCTGAGAAGAAGACATCACCACCTCTCTAGGCAATTGGTTCCATTGCTGAAATGCTGTTACTGTTAAGAGTTTTCACCTAATGTTCTCTAAAAATCTACTGTTTTGGAACGTAAAACCATTAGAACTGGCCTTATCCTCTGGGCCAGACCCTTCAACCTTTATTCATGTTTTATTCTCAATACTTCTAATTCCCATTGCCCTTCTCCAAACAGACTCTAAATTGTCTATGTCCTTCTTAAATTGAGGTGTCCATAACTGAATGCAGTATTCTACATGAGGCCTGAATATAGTGGCACTATTACTTTCCTTCACTTGGAAACTATGCTTCTATTAATCATCACTTTCCTATATCTTCACAGACCAAGGGCAAAGCAACATCTGAAGGCAGGTCCTATGTGCACACCTCATCCCTACACACGATGCATTCAGACAATACGTAATCTGAATATGGTTTAAAAGTCATCAAAATTACATACTTGCAGGGATTCTCACAGAAAACATTTTATTGTGATTCAGTTCCATGGATGGACAGCAATAATGGGAGAGAATTATAGTTGGTGTACACCAGGGGGCCTCAAACTTTTTAAACAGAGGGCCAGATGACAGTCCCTCAAACTATTGGAGGGCCAGATTATAACATGAATGAATTCCTATGCACACTGAGCATATCTTATTTGTAGTGCAAAAAACCCCCACTTAAAAACAATAAAATAATTAAAATGAAGAATAATTTTAACAAATATAAACTTATTAGTATTTCAATGGGAAGTGTGGGCATGCTTTTGGCTGATGCGATAAGATTGTTGTTGTTGTTGTGTGCTGGATAAATGACCTTGGAGGGCCGTATCCGGCCCCCGGGCCTTAGTTTGATGACCCCTGGTGTACACCATAGCCCCCCCCCCTTTGGGGTAAAGAGTGGGGCCTATCAAGGATCTGGGGCTTGAGGGGCTGTGAAGAGGTTGCGCTTGAGCTTTGGCTGGGTGATTTCTCTCTTTTATAAAATCCTGGGATTTTATAGGTGAACCTTCCAGTAAAACACTGGATAGTGGCGCAGCTGGCTAAGTGTCAGCTGCATTAAGATCACTCTGACCAAAAAGTCATGAGTTCGAAGCCAGCCCGGGTTGGAGTGGGTTTCCAACCAATTGTGTAGCCTGTTGTTGAACTTTGCAACCTGAAAAACAGTTGCATTTGTCAAGTAGGAAAATTAGGTACCACCTTAAAGTGTGGAGAGGCTAAATTAACTAATTTATGAGGCCATAAAAAAGACTCCAGCAAGCACTCCAGCAAAAAGCATGTGGGGAATGTGGAAGTACTTCGTCAGTGTCACAGATGGACGATGAAAGCGACAGCTCCCCTGGTGGCCAGAAAAAGTTAAATAGCCTCTGTCTATGTCTGTATATGTTGTATGTCAAAATTGGCATTGAATGTTTGCCATATATGTGTACACTGTAATCCGCCCTGAGTCCCCTGCGGGGTGAGAAGGGCGGAATATAAAAGCTGCAAATAAATAAATAAATAAATAAATAAATAGTGAACAATCCATAAATACAACCCAAGGATTAGGTGAGGAGGTGGTCACAAGGTGACACCTGTCCCTTGGCTAAGGCCCATATTAGGTTGCTGCCCCCTCCCATGCATCTTAGCCAATGTCCCAGAATTAAATAAATTCATAGGCATAGGTTAAAAATGGTCCTTATTTCAAATGGTCCTTTGTTTAGCCTTATTATTTCACAGCTGGTATTCCAATAAAATAGGGCAGTGTTTTGCCAACATTTTCAGCAGTTAGAACTACAATAACGAAAAAGAATAAACTCTCAGTGATATTTCCATTCCCTTAAAGCAAGAGGATTGCACAGACAACCCCAAACTCCACTTATATTGTTATAGGTGAGAAAGGAAACTTCCTCTCGGTCTTAATTTCGTCCCTTTGATCTACAAGTGTTAATTAAAATTCCTTGTTTAAAGTAACAGGCCCTCTGACTGTAAGCAACCCAAATGGTTCCTGTTGATTGAATTTCATATACACTGATGTTATCTGTCATGATAAGCTAGTCAGAACAAAGACAGCCATTTTTAGGATAATTTGGTGTGACTGATGTATGACAGACAGAAGGGGGTGTGTTTTGAACAAAGAGGATGTGCTTTGATCCAAACTATTAAATTCTTCTGTATGCTGAGGAGAGAAAAACAAGTTGGAAATTGTTTCTGGATCTCACGTTGGACTTTGAGTGTGCACCAAATTTCTGCTGCAGAAATAAACTTCTTTTCTCCTTGCTCATGTTGCTTTGCTAATTGGACCATCTGCTAGTTACCTGTCTTGGCTCAGGTATCATGTCTTGTGGGGGAGAAGACAATTAGTTCTATTTTTTGAGACAATTGCAGCCAAGGAAGAAGCCATACATCAACAAGGCTTAAAGAGTACCCTGGCTTGCAAGAAGTCACTTGCACAAGATTGTCAGCCATGTCTCCTCTGAGCAAGGAGTCTCCACTTCCGGCGGAATCCACCCAGATCAGGAAAAGCCTGAAGCCCCTGATTGAGGAGAGGCGCCAGGCCAGGATCCTGCCTTTGGTGGGGAAGGATGTCAGTGAGGACTGCACATCCATCATCCCCTGCTAAAGGAGGGCTCCCGCTTTTCCAAGCTGGAGAAGGCTGACATCCTAGAGATGACCATCCAGTTCCTGCAAGACCTTCTGGCCCCTTTTTCTGCCTCCGGTGAGGCCAATGACAATGGCACCTTCCAGTTGGGCTTCCATTCTTGCCTCTCTCACCTCTCGCTCCTTCTTCCCGAATGTGCCTGCTGCGGCCTCTTGGCGCACCTCCGCACGGCCTGTGACCCCCAAAACCAACCCCATTTGTCTCTTCTGGGGGCCAGCTCTGCCCATGGCTCAGACGACGGTACCTTTGTGGAGGCCTTGGTAGTTCCTCAAAGAGCAAAGAGACTCCATCTTGAGTGGCCATCTGTCAGGAGGGGTCAGGTGGTGCCTCCCTTCACAAACAGGGCAGGGTTGGACTGGATGGCCTCTTGGGCTCCCTTATGATTCTCTTCTTTATGAATAAGGGCCCTGAAGCCTGTTCAGCCCCATGTAGCTCCAGAGGGATTTTCTGCCTCTAACTTTTTTTTGCACATTTCCAGACGGCACTTTAACCCTGTATATATCCTGGGTTTTGTACTTGCACAAGCATGGTTGAACCAATCCAGGTTCTGGAATAAAGCAGGGTTCATCAGGCATTCCAAAGTCAAAGTCACATGCACTTAGTTTTTCTGGCCGAAGTGATCAACACCAGAAACATAGTTGTGCAGATAAGGAGTCGAAGATCTGCTGATGACATGTGCTTGGAAGGTTTCAAAATGATTTGAGAGAGTACCAAAGATAGGAACCAACATGTAACAGAATCTCCATCTGGCCAGTTTAGGTGAGATGACCTTTCAAAAGAGGGTTGACTACTATAATTATACACAAGTAAGTCAATAGATGACCTGAAGATTAATAATCTTCTTATCTGCTGGAGATTAAGTGATATTAAGAGAAAAAGTATATGACTGGAAATGTTGCCACTTTATAGCATATGCCAGTCTTGCTGAGTCCTTCCTAGAAGGCAGTGAGAACTCATGGATATAGTCATCTAATGCATCTCCAGCCTCCATACTGGTAGGCAAAGCAACATCTGGGCAAAAGGCTGAACTGTTTATTGGGAGTGAGTCATAATATTGGGTGACATGGAAATCACAAATATTCCTCCTTAGTGTGTCGCGACTCACAGTTTGGAAAGCTCTGCTATAAACCTTTAAATTGCTGTGCTGCAAGCCTGTGAGATTCCTTTTGGAAAAGAGAAGCTACGGTCCTATAGTCTTCAGTCAGATAAGGAATGAAAGACAAGAGTTTCTCCCACAGAAATTGATGGTAGTCCACCATGCTTGCTTAATTGGCTACTTGGATTGGCAATACTGTGGAAGAACAAAAGTGGCAGAAAGGATGGGCTGCTCAGCATTGACATATAAAAGTATAACCACCTTATACTGGGGTATGTGTTGTTGTTGTTGTTGTTAAGGATGGTATTCTTTTCCTCTACCAACAATACCTAATTCCCACCAAGGCTCACTACTTATCTGCAATAGCTCCTTGCATGGTCATTCCATGGCTGGTGGAGAATTGGGGGGAGGAGTATCAGATGCACACCAGTGGTATCTTCTGCCAAAATCCAGTAGAGTTCTCTGGAGAATTCAGTGGAGGAAGTCATATCCACTGAGGGGGGTGGGGGTGGGTGCTATTGCTAGAAAGGGGTGGTGACAGTATCACATGAGGAATTCTTAAACTGTGCTTGACAGTGCAAGATCTCAGCCACTTATATTTTACTCTGTTTCTTAAAATTGTTGCATCCTTTTCTTTTCTTTCTTTCTTTCTTTTGGTGTAGGGATATGGATAATTCATTAGGGAAAATAAAATTCCAGAATTTTATTACAGTCTAAAGTATGTTTTCTCAGTTGCCTCAGTCCAGTTCACATATTTCCATAGATTTCAGCATATTAAAACTAGCCTGTGATACTTAAGAGTATGATACATACGGGACTCCAATTTCAAAAACATTGTTTTGGATCAGCTGTTTTCCCAACATTATAATGCTTAGTTGAATGCAGAGTTCCATTAGGCAGCCTCCTGGAGCACACTAAAGAGGAATGGAAACAAGAAGTGATCAGTATAATACCAGCATATGAGTGACAAATGACTCTTCTGCATAAGAGAGATCTTCTGAAGTCCAACCAAAGGTCGTTGGACTTTAAAAGAACTACAGTGGCATGGCATAATTATATATCTCTATCTATCTGTCTGTCTGTCTGTCTGTCTGTCTGCCGGGCTGCCTGCCTGCCTGTCTATCTGTCTCTCTATCTATCTATCTGTCTATCTATCTATCTATCTATCTATCTATCTATCTATCTATCTATTAGGGCTGGGCGGTTTCGTTCGTTAATTTCGTAATTCGTTATTAATTTGTATTTGAATTAGCTTACGATCCAATATTGAGCCATGCAGGAATAGTGTGAGGAGTAATTAAAAATCGAAACAATTTTTCCAATTTATTTCGTATTGTTTCGTAATTGGTTCAAAATTGTTTCGAAATTGTTTCGTAATTGTTTCGTAATTATTACCGTATAGTTTTATAGTTGTTGTTTGTTTTATCAGTGAAAAAAAAAATAAATTATCACACTAACAGTCAACAACAGAGGGAGAGGGAAGCTTCAGAAGTTCCCCCTGTCCCATTTGGAGGTTTTTTTTAGCATATTGCGCAATCGCGTCCGCCATTAACGAATCGATTCGAAATTAATGAAATTTCGTAAATAAAGAAATTTTGAAATCTCAAAATTTCGGAAGTATTTAGAATTTGGAAACGCTAGCGCCCCCTGGAAATGAATCGAGTTTAGAAACAAATTTTTCCGTGGTTACCCAGCCCTACTATCTATCTATCACCAAACCTATAACCCAATGGTTAATTATGTTTAATACATTCTACCTGGATGTTCTTTGAGTTAGACAGAGAATTATTTCTGGTTTTTTTTTGTTTTTTTGGGGTTTTTTTTGTATGCGGGCCATACAGATTATTTAGCCATTAGATGGAAAGGTGAGCAGAGACCATTACAAGAAAATGGCGAAAGAAAGAAAGATCCTGAACTCTTTTATTTTTGTAATATGTCTAAATCTTATGGTGCCAATTATCAACTTGCTGGTAAGCAGAATCAGAGACCACACATTAGGCATATTAGATACACTTATTTGCACACTACTGACATATTGGTTAGGAGCCCTGGATTTTTTCCCCCAAGAACTCGCAATTTCATTAATTTGTAGACTGGAGAAGTCAACCGAGAGACTGGAATTCATTCAGAATCAATTCAATAATGTAGATCATTGGAAGGGGGGAACTAATCTGTTAATGTGAATGTTGGGACAGAAGATTTTTGACTTACTGAGATAATTGTTAATTAAATTATTTGGTTTAAAAAAATCATGGCATTTACCAGATCACTCATTAAATTAAGAGTGTACACATCTTAATCAGAAATATTTAATGTCTTTAAGCATAAACAGAATATTTCCCTGCGGTATAAAATAACAGCATCCTTTAACATCTCCTATCTCATCATATTTAAAAGTGTAGCTTACAATAATCAGCAGTAGACCACATGTTTTCAGGTCAAGTTTGCCCTTTGCATCATAAGAATAGTGAGTATTCGGTAAGCATTATTAGGATAAGAAGGAAATAAAATAGCATATAATTAATGAAATATAGCCAGTTATGTCCAAGATGTGACAGGGGAATGGCTATTTCCAACCTCTGACATATATCTCTAACTATCTATGTATGTATTATATGAGGGACAGGAGATTTGACTGAATGACCCCTGCTCCCCCCCCCCCAAACTCTGTGATTCTATTATTCTGTATAGGAAAATATTCTGTTCTATGATTCTATATAGAAAGCTACTTGAAAGCTTTGTGTGTGTGTGTGTGTGTGTGTGTGTGAGAGAGAGAGAGAGAGAGAGAGAGAGAGAGAAAACTATGGGGAAAATCCAATATTTTGTCTATACTTCCAGGGGAAACATACCAAATAGAATAGTACTGGAAGACCTAGAAAAGCCCACAAACACCTGGGGGATATTTTGTGGGGAGGAAAACTGTGGATTCTTGTATAAGGGATTTGTAGTGAAATATGTTTAACACTTGATATTGCACACCTAATGTACTAGAAAATTTCATGTAACAACCCTAACCCTAACCCTAACCCCACATTTGCAGTTGCAGCCCAAAAACATCCGAGCTAAATTAGTAAAGTCCACAGTGGAGGCTAGAAATGGAAATTGTTTGGGATGATACAAATCAGACATTTGTGATTGTTATCGTGTCACTACTACTATAACTTTAAAGAATCAGTATATGGAATTAGTTTTAATATTTATATTGGAAAGTGCTTATTGTACTTTTAAAGGTTGCATATTATGTGATTGTCATGCCTATGGCTGGCACAATAAACAATTCAATTCAATGTTTTATTTACAGAAAACGGCATTCTTTCAGTACTAGTATGTCTAAACATTGCCAGAATAATGGTTTATGTTTGGGTACTTACCTCTTCCATTCGGTAACCAGCAAATACGTACACATATTGCCCAGGTCGACCCACGAATCTGAAAATAAGATATGAGTGATACAGATTTAATATGCTAATTAAATAAGTATCAGAAAAATTCAGTTCATATAAATCAAATATTTATTTTGTGGGGCCAGATGTAAAATATTATCTATAAAGCCATTATCTTGGTCTGGATCATAAAGGTAACCTTAATTCGAGTAAAATCATTGATTCCCTTCCTGAATCCCATTCATTCAATTGGTCTATTTTAATTGGGATTTAGGCTATTATATCACCATTTTTCCTCAGTTAGAAGTAAACCATAAACAGAGAAATACATCAGTAGATAAATCTGACCAAGCATTTATAATCCCAGTGGGGCCATTTAGGGAAGAATATAAAAGTGGGCAAAATCGGATTAAAATGCATTCATCTTGTTCGGGGGAGCAACAGCTGCATCAGCCGAGGAAAAGAGATAATCCACTGGGAAAAACTGGGAAAAGAGGAAAACTACTGAACAAAAGCAATAGTGTGTGGTGAAACTGGTGAAGGATCTCTTAGAGGCAATTGCAACAACACTGCTGCTAACTCTTAATACTATGTAGAAAGGGAACAGTACTAAACATATACTTTTACCCTTTATTAAAGATGAAAACCAGTTTGAATACTAATGAGATGAATTTGGTTGTTTATTTTTACAGAAATACTTAAATCGTGGCTGAATATTTGATACTGTGGGGTATAGAGCCTCTTCAACGGCCTGAATGGCAGAATATACTCTGGATTGTTGTAGGTTTTTTCAGGCTATATGGCCATGTTCTAGATGCATTCTCTCCTGGCGTTTTGCCTGCATCTATGGCAAGCATCCTCAGAGGTTGTGAGGTCATGGACTGACTACAGACCTCACTACCCCTGAGGATGCTTGCCATAGATGCAGGCGAAATGTCAGGAGAGAATGCCTCTAGAACATGACCATATAACCTGAAAAAACCTACAACAACCCAGAGATTCCAGCCATGAAAGCCTTCGACAATACATAGAATATACTCTGTTAGTTCTCCCTTTTTCTCCTGAATCAACAGACCACAGTAGGGCATTTTTTTGCTCCCATACTTCCAACTTCAAAGGGCCCAATTTGCAGAGTGGCCTGAAATGAACACATACCCACCTACCTCTTATTCTCATCAGGATCTCATAGAATCGTAGAATCACACAGCTGGAAGAAATGAGATTGGACCAGATGGCCTTCTGACCTATGGTGACTCTTAAGGTGACCCTATCATGAAGTTTTTTGGCAAGATTTATTCTATAGAGTTTGAAAAGGTGTGACTTGTCCAAGGTCACTTAGTGGACTTCCATGGCTGAGTAGAGATTTTAGCCTTGGTCTCTAGAACCATAGCTTCTAGAGCAAATCACTACACCATGTTGGATCTCAAATACTACTTTAGCTTGTATTAACAGAGCTGAATATAGTTCCACTATATTCTGCACTATGAAGCCCCACACATTCAGGAAATAGTTGGACAGGCATTGAGGAAAAGTTGAGTGAGTTAGGCCTGTTCAACTTGGTGAAGAGAAGACACTGGTGTGGCATGACTGTACTCTTGAAATACCTCAAGAGCTATCACAGAGAGAAGGGTTTATTTGCAACTCCCCAGAGGTTAGGTTTCATGTTTTTTATGTTATAGAAGGTTAGATTTCAATTGTGTTCAAGTTCAACAATGCTCTGTAAAAGTAATAGTGCCTCATAGTAGTGATGAGAGGATTATTAGATAACGATAAAGGAAAATTCCTCTTTTCTTCTATGGTTATCTGTCCTGCCTCCGCTGTCAGTGGTGTAGACTGACACTCTCCGGCTTACTCCAACTATTCTCAGGTTTCCAGTTCCTTCCTGGGACTTTCCACTCTTCTTTCCCTAGAATGTAGTCAGGCTTAGCTAGGATCAGTAACTCCTTTTTTCTATCAGTAATGGCAACAAGAATGATTGACAAACTGGGAAATAGAGGGAGAAAACGTGGAGGCAGTGATAGACTTTGTATTTCTAGGTGCAAAGATTACTGCAGACAGACTGCAGCCAGGAAATCAGGAGACGCTTACTTCTTGGGAGGAGAGCAATGTCCAATCTCGATAAAATAGTAAAGAGTAGAGACATCACATTGGCAACAAAGATCTGCATAGTTAAAGCAATGGTATTCCCCATAGTCATCTACGGATGTGAGAGCTGGACCATAGGGAAGGCTGAGCAAAGGAAGATAGATGCTTTTGAACTGTGGTGTTGGAGGAAAGTTCTGAGAGTGCCTTGGACTGCGAGAAGATCCAACCAGTCCATACTTCAGAAATAAAGCCCAACTGCTCATTGGAGGGAAGGATAGTAGAGGCAAGATGAAGTCACATCATGAGAAGAAAGGAAAGCTTAGAGAAGACAATGATGCTGGGGAAAATGGAAGGAAAAGGAAGAGGGGCCGACCAAGGGCAAGATGGATGGATGGTATCCTTGAAGTGACTGGATTGACCTTGAAGGAGCTGGGGGTGGTGACGGCCGACAGGGAGCTCTGGCGTGGGCTGGTCCATGAGGTCACGAAGAGTCGAAGACGAGTGAACGAATGAACAACAACAACAAATGGAGTTCTCTTAATAAAGATTACTTTAAACTTGAGCTACTGGTGCACTTTGCTCCTTAAGTACCATCTCACTTTTTCCAAGTTGTGGATGTACTCTGCTAACAAAACAAACATTAGAAGTACAGTCAGTGCCATTCAGAATTGGAAGCAATTTCTGGATATCTCCAAGATGAGGCTGGCTGGCTACCTAATGGGGATCCTCCATCTGCAGTTTCTGCATTAATGTTGAACTCAGTGGCCTGTGATGACTCATCCAGCTCCATGATACTATTGATTCTTGGAGATCTATCATTCATAGGGTCACCATACGTTGACACCCACTTAAATTATCAAGATTTTTCCTGCTTACTGGTGGAATTCAGAAAACATGCCTTATCTGTGCCAAAATATTACAACATGGAAAGAAATCATGCTCAACCTACCTTCCTTTAAAAAAGGCCACATAAAAAATTGGTGCATAGGAATTAACAAATTTTAGCAGGAAAGCCTTCAAAATTAATCTCTCCTCAAAAGCTTTTTCTGTCTTTGGTACCTCTGCCATAAAGAAAAGAGAAAGAGAAATGAATTGGTAATGCCTAACAAATTAACTACTTTCATGGATGAGTTCTATTGCAAACAATGAGTATCTTGAACTTAGAAAAGCCACATTCTGATTCAGGAATGCCATCCGGTATTATGCCACTAAGACCACCTTGTACATTGTCAAATAATCCAGATTATTAAAGCAGCTAATCCACACTATCTGCTTTGAACTGAATTGTATACACTGCCATATAATCCAGTTCAAAGTAGATAACATGGATATTATATGACAGTGTAGAAAGCCTCCAAGTTTTACTTTTACTTCTGTGAGAAGGACCATAGCAATGCCAATTTATACCAACTCTCTGTTTCTATCCTAGTCATGTCTCTCATTTTCTCTCTAAATTTCTCATGTTGGTGGCTGCAATCTCCTATGAGATGGGGAAAGTTCCTTCTCTTGTGTGCAATGAGGCAAGTGACGTTTTCCATGTATATCTTTGCACAGTTTCCAAGATAAAAATTATCTGATATTTTTGAGGCAGGTGTACAAAAACATAAAAATAATCTCTGTACAGAGCCAGGGCTAATATGGGCAGGAGTCATGAATAGCTGCCGCATGAGAAAAAAACTACGCAAAACGTCAAAACCTGGAATATGTATTGTCGAAGGCTTTCGTGGCTGGAATCACTAGGTTCTTGTGGGTTTTTTCGGGCTATAGGCCATGTTCTAGAGGCATTTCTCCTGACGTTTCGCCTGCATCTATGGCAAGCATCTAGGCTTGGTGCAGGCGAAAAGTCAGGAGAAATGCCTCTAGAACATGGCTCTATAGCCCGAAAAAACCCACAAGAACCTAGGCTTCCTTTTACTTCTGTGTTTCTATCATGTTCATGAGCTGCCATTGTTATGAACCAGAATTAGAAAGCATTATGGTGACCTTATCACCACATTTTCAAAGAACTGAGATATTAGTCAATGATATTCCCAAGTTTTCTTGGCAATTAAATTATTTCTTAACTATGCTGTACAATTATAGTAACATGAATGATTGACAACAGCATCACAACTTTTTATCTATTATGTATCGGCTATGGAACTCCCTCCCTAGGGATATTAGATCGGCCCCCTCCCTACTGACATTCCGGAATTTTTTAAAAAAACTTGGCTTTTTGAACAAGCCTTTGGAAACGCAGTGTAATGAATAAATCTGGAACTCAGGAAATAATGAATATGGAATGGCTTGGCAATGTCTCTGGAAAATGAGCCAATAGGAAGTTACTGGAGTTTATATGTTTTTAATGTTTTTTACATGGTTTTAATAATGTGCGTTAAATGTTTTTAATTTTGTTTTTATGATTGTTGTGGCATCGAATTGTGCCAGTGTAAGCCATCTCCAGACTGAGAGGGGCAGCATAGAAATGGAGTAAATAAATAAATAATTATTTGCTGTGTGTTTACTTCCAACAGCACTATTGCATTTGTATGTCTTTTATTTATTTATTTACTTACTTACTTATTTTTTTTGTACACTTCTATCCTGCCCTTCTCACATAGATATCAGCAATGCTTGCAACATATACATCATAAGAATACAATTAAAACAGTAAAAACATTTAAAAACATCATACAAATCAGCCAATAAGTTAATTTAACAATAATATTAGAATGCCAGTAAAAACAAAAATCAAGTCGGGAAATCCAATGTCGCAAACCCAAATTCCTTTTCCTATTGTCAATATCATCTAGTCAAACACCTGGCCCCAGAGCCAGGTCTTCAGTTGTCTTCTAAAGGACAGGAGGGAGGTGGCCAACCTGATGTCCTTAGGGAGGGAGTTCCACAGACGGGGGGCCACTGCCAAGAAGGCCCTGTCTCTTGTCCCCACCAACCGCGTTTGCAAGGGTGGTGGGATCGAGAGCAGGACTTCTCCTGACGATTTTAAGCTTTGTGATGATTCATAGCAGGAGATACGTTCGGGCAAGTAATCTGGGCCAGATTGCTATAAATGATAAATGCAGAGTGGCTGTAAAAACAGACAGTTCTACAGTTTATTGTGTTTGCAGTTGCAGGTGGAAACATCCATTGTATATCTCCTGAGATTGTCATCTGTGAAAGGCCTGTAATACCATATGTATATTTCAACTATAAACTGAAACATGTACTCACAAATACTCTTTAGGCAATGCAAAAATGCATATTTCAAATATATAAAATGCACATGAATTTCCATGCCAAGGGATGCAGGAGTTGAAGCGTTACAAACACAATTAAATGAAATGAAACAAAAATGTTGGTCAAAAATGGGGAAAAAAATCAATACAGGCCTAACCAACAGATTTTTACAACTTTCTGTCCAAAAAAAGCGTGATTTACAACAGTGGTTTTAATTTTTAATCTCTCCATCCTCCAGATGTTTTGCATTTCCATCCACTGAAGCTCATGGTCAATCACCAAAGATCCTCAGAGTTGAAGTTCAAAATATTCGGAGGACCAAAGGTTGAGAGTCACTGATTTAGCACACATCCATATGATTTTTTTTGTCATGTCAGGAGCAACTTGAGAAACTGCAAGTTGCTTCTGGTGTGAGAGATTTAGCTGTCTGCAAGGACGTTGCCCAGGGGACATTCTGATGTTTTACCATCCTTATGGGAGGCTTCTCTCATGTCCCTGCATGGAAAGCTGGAGCTGATAGAGGGAGCTCATCCGCACTCTTCCCCAGATTCGGACCTGTGACCTGTCGGTCTTCAGTCCTGCCAGCACAAGGGTTTAACTCACTGCGCTACTGGGGGCTCCATCCATATGATAATGGTATGCAAGGGAAAACCAATAGTCCATTATAAATTAAAATTATTAATGAGGAACCCATGGTTGCAAAATCCCTGAATGAAGAATGAACACTACTAAATGATCACTACGTTAATCACTATATAATATTTTGTAAGAGAAAAAGAGCTACTATTAACCAATCTAGCATTTCAAAAAGATGCAAATGGGAGTAGATCAATAGGTACTACTTCAGTGGGAAGGTACCGGCACTCCATGCAGTCATGCCAACCACATGACCTTGGAGGCATCTACGGACAACAATGGCTCTTTGAAATAGAGATGAGCACCCCCACACCCCGAAGTCGGACTCGACTAGACTTAATGTCAAGGGGAAACCTTTACCTTTTATTTATACACTATCTGAAGAATCAAAAGTATGTGTTAAGGTGAAACAACATTACCCATTTCTGTCAACCATTTGGCAACCATTCCATAAATCTCATCTAGGATAAGAATCACGACGAGGTTAATGATTACAGCAGTTGCTGTCACTGTCACGCGAACGTTTGATCTGGTTGATTCATTGGGACTCATTGACAGTGCTGCTGCTGTAGTTATCCGGTACACAATTACACCAAAGACTAATGAAAATGTCAGTGAAATCTGAGGAGAAAAAACACAGATGTATACATTTAATATTCTTTAAAATGCCATTCATAACTTAGTAAATATAAATAATAGAATGAGTGTTGTTAAAAAGCAAGGGGAAAACTCAGATGCAGACTAAAGATTTCCCTACTCAGCAGCAAAGAAACACCCAATTAGAGCAGAAAGATGTGATTCTTTTTTTCTATACATATTTAGGAATTCCTACAAGCAAGCATGGCATGGGAATTTATATCTTCTGTCATTGTTGAGCACTGCAGTATAGTCGCATAATTGTGTGCTATTTTCTCCAATATTTACATCCTTCTCTTTATAATGCATCGTACAACATTATCAAACAGTTTTTGGAGAAGAAAATCAAAAATATTAGTGCTAAAGTTGCCAGACATCTAGGCAGGCCCCAGGGACAACAACATTGCGGGGCGGGGGGTGCAGCAATCTTGTAAAATGAGAACTTTCCTTTAGCTATATGTATTTAGCACGTTCTTTTGACTGCTTGTGTAGCTTCCTGCAATTTGCAAAGCTTAATTGACTCCAGTCAAGTTGTTTCAACTTGCAGACTCTCCGTGTTTATTTAACTAACTTCTCCCTACATTCTCCCTCTCTGCTGGAACCAGTGTTCAGCAGAAGCTGTGGAAAATCCATTCTGTTCTGTATATACCTTTGTCAAAGAAGAAGAGTTGGTGGACTGACTTTGGGGGGCGGGGGTAGTGCATCTATACTCAGGGATGGTTGGAACGACCAGCATGAGAAGAACTGCAGTAAGCAGCAGTATACAAGTGAACAGTGGCCACATCTACCCTGGCCACTTAAGCTAGAGCCAGTGTTGAGCATGTTGCTTTGGACTGACCATAGCCACTATGGTGCCACATTGATGTCCAGATGGTTGAACCAGGTGAATATCTCATTGTCCCTGCTGAAACATCACCCCATCCTCCCTGATGTCACCACTAATTCCCACTGGACATAGAGATCATTAAAGCACCTGGCCATCACCCATCATATCTGCTGATGTCAGAATCGGGTGCCTACACAACTAGTAAAGGAAGGTAGATTGATCTCCTTTCTGGTTGTGCCAGTGCCTTGTTCTAATATCAAGAGACATGACAGCCAGGTTACCACATGGAGTTTTGTGGCTAGCTATGGAAACTGTACATGGTATACATTAACTGTAGTCAGGGGTGGCTCAACCCATTATGCAAAGTAAGCATTTGCAATATAGTTGATTTTGCCCAGGGGCGCTCTTGAGGCTCTCTTGGGGGAAAATAGACCTTGACATATGCGAGTTGTAGTTACTGGGATGTATAGTTCACCTACAATCAAAGAGCATTCTGAACTCCACCAATGATGGAATTGAACCAAATATGGCACACAGAACTCCCAGAAAATATATATCAGTGATTGGTTGGGGGGCACCAAAATACTGTTTGCTTACTGTTGAAAATTACCTAGGGCTGCCTCTGCTAATATCCTTTCCTCCAGTGAGCAGCCCATATAACTGTATTATAGTTGCGTTATAATTGTGTATTATAGTTGCTACAAATCCGTCTCTCACATTTATTTATTTTAAAAGGTCTATCATGTAGCTGTGCTCAATGAAGTCAAAGGTTTTCATTGCATCTAGCGATATTGTGGCTACTGGATTCTTGTGGGACTGACTCTTCTGGATTATATTTAATACTCTCCTTATAGACTGCTAATGCCCTGACTGGCACATATCAAATTTGGACCGGATGAATATATTTTAGACTGTTTAATCTTTAGGCCATAACTGATGTAAATATTTTTGAACCTGGTTAATATTTTCAGTCTGTAAGCTGGTGGTGAATGGGGATCCACCCCTGGTGTAAGTATAAATACCATTTTTGCCTTATTCCATGATTTTAGATTTTTCTTTCCTAATAATATACCACAGTGCAAACCATATAATTGAGGGGTTCGATCATCTACATGGGGGGGGGGGGGGGGGGAGGGAGGCTGGTGATTTATCTATGTGTAATCTAGAAATTTATTTTTTATTGCCTCCACAGTTGTCAAGGCATACAATGGATCCCTGTAGCTGTATATATATATACACATATATACATATATACACATATATACATATATATACACATTATGTTTTTAAAATACAAATGTACCCTTGATTCACTTCTGATACTATAAACAAATCTGAAGCATGAAAGGAGCATATAAACCACCTCCACGAAACCACCTAACTGCACATAATAATAATAATAATAATAATAATAATAATAATACTTTATTTGTACCCCGCTACCATCTCCCCAAGGGACTCCGTGCAGCTTACATGAGGCCAAGCCCAGAATACAACAATAAACAATAGCAACAATAATACAAAACAATAAATAAACTCATAAGCTAAAAACAAGCAATAAACATTAACAATAACACGACACGTTTAAAAACCTATGGCTGGGCCAAATGTAATAATTAATTTTTTTAAAAAATAATGCTGGGCATGACAAGGTGACATATAACTGGGATAGAAGTTTTAGAGGGGGATGAAATGTGCAGACAATCTTAGATCACTAATAAAGTGCGTTTAGGGACATATTGCTGGGAGTTTCCTTATTCTGGGAAGGCACACTGAAACAACCACGTTTTCAGGCTCCTTCTAAAGACTGCCAGAGTCGGGGCTTGCCTAATATCTGTACATCAACTATGAGCCATGTGTATCTTTTCTTCAGATAATTACCTCTCTCGTGATAGCATAAAAACTAACAAAAAACCTGAAATATTTGAGCTACCAAAATTTCCAAAATTTACCTGGCAGTTTAGTTGTGAAGGACAAATCCTATGTCAGGCATTCACTCACATCTTAGACTTTGGCAGACAATTACCAGAAAAACATTTCTATTTTTTCTGTGCATACTTCACTTGAAAAAAATGTTATGTTAATGAAAAATAACACGTGCCTCTCAAAATGCTGATTCAGTATGAAAATGCATGCACTAAAAGATAACTTATGTATAGCAATGTAGATCAAAGAAAATAAATTATTTAAACAAAATTACCATAAATAAGATAGATGCAAAGTTCACCAGATAACCAGGGGTACGATCTTTCCAAGTCAGTTTCTCTTTTTCATCCTGGTATAAGACATAATGATTAGAGTGATAATTATAGTATGTAATGCTAAATATTGATATGTTAGGAAATTGTTCTGCTTTAAAATAAAACAGAAGGGATTTGATACAAGTTGGTAATATATGGTAATATAATTTGCTATTACTATGCCTCATGTATTAGTTAAATGACAATATTTAATTGCACCCAACTTTTGCTAAATTATACTCAATATTTGAAGATAAATGGAAACTATCTTTAATTGGTGTGGTAGATTGCATTTCTTTATAAGTATTTGTTCTATCCATATTTTAAATTTCAAAATTAAAAAATCTCTTTGGTAGTAAAAGTTTCAAAGTATTAGCTTTTACACTGAAATGAAGACAATTACAAAGTATGGTACCCACGATTACAGCTCAACATGGAAACCAAATTTGAGGAAACAAAGGAAATTGGATTCCAGGTGAGGTCTGATCAAAGCAGAATAGAGTGGAACTATTACATCCCTCGATCTAGATACTATACTCTTATTGTTGCAGCCTAGAATTGCATTTGGTTTTTTAGCTATCACATCACACTATTGACTCATGTTCAGTATGTGATCTAGTTGGATTCCTTTCATGTGCACTGTTTTCAGGCTAGCAGTCACCCATTCTATATCTGTAAATTTCATTTTTATTGTCTACATGTAGTACCTCATATTTTTCCCTGTTCAAATTCATATTGTTAGTTTTGACCAAGCTTTCCAATCAGGTCATTTTGGGTTCTGATCCTATCTCTTCCAATTGGGTGTCATTTACAAATTTGATAAGCATGCCCTCTATTCTATCATCCAGGTCATTAATAAAGATATTGAATAACACTGGGCCCAGGACAAAACTGTGTGGCACCACACTGGTCACTTCTCTCCATGATGCAGAGCCACTGGTATGCACCCTGTGGATTTAGCCAGTTCACCAATTCCCAATCCATTTCTCTTCAGGATGAAGAAGAGGCATTGGGCTTGATCAATCAATTGATTACCAATCTACCTAACATTAGTATTGTCTAGCTCACATTTTACTAGCTTCTTTGTGAGAATATTCTGGGTCACCATCTTGTGAATGACTGAGACCAGGGCTTGTTTGTGCACTAGGAATGACATCAAGAGATAATCATTTGAAACTCTATGCCTCACCCTTTCATGTGTTAAGAGTTTCATTTATGGACAATTCATGGTTGCAGTGATATAGCGATTTCAAACTGAGTCCATCTTTTTGAAACAGCCTCTGGCATCAAAATTCATTTTTTTCTATTGCAAACATGGTGTTCCAATTTAAATTATCAAACACCTTTTCAGCATCTAGCAATATCAAGATTGCTTGCTTCTCATTGTGTCTTTCTAAGTAGTCAGTGATATCCTTCATATATCCTCCACATATAATTTCTTGTAAAATCTTTTATCTAAGATAGAGATTTAAAAAGTAACAATCATTGTCTAATGGTGACTGACATGTAGTTTCTTGTGTCTTTTTTTTTTCTATCAAGACACCTTGAATACAATTGTGGGGCCAAGCCCAGTCATACAGAGTTAAAAACATATCATATAAAATATAACAATAACATAAATCAACATTATAACAATAATACAACAAAATAGATGGCAACCTATTAGAGGATTATTATCCCTAAGTTTTTATGGGACTGCAAAATGCACAATATACGCACAAGTACGCACAAACATGACCTTGTCAAAAATGAGGTAAATTAGAATACATGGCCAATGGGTGCATTTCTAATGGTTCACAATTTGTGCTAAACTGCTATAGATGCAGTGTCCAGTTAGCTAAGGCAGCAGCCATAGGTATTATCCAAATCTATATAAATAAAAATGTAATGTTCGTTTGTGGGATTAACAGAACTCAAAAACCACTGGGGGAATTGACGCCAAATTTGGACATGATACACCTATCAACCCAATGTATGTCCTTCACTAAAAACAAAAACAAAAACAAAAAGCAGAAAGGACTTCTAAATTGCATTTCCACAGAAGAGAAACTGCATTCCCAAAAAGAGACCCATGGCCATGCCCTTCCTCCTTGTGGGGAAACAGCCGGCCATTAAAGCATGAGGAGCCAGTCGTGCGTGCATGTCCACTCTCTCTCTCTCACACACAAGCAAGAGTGGGCACCATGGGAGTGGAGGTGGAGGCTTGCCGCATGGAGCCCCCAGGCAAGAAAGAAGGGGAGGAGGAGGAGGAGGCGAGGAAGGTTGATGGTACTTCATTGAAGGACCTTCCTTCTCTCTCTCACTCCCTTCCATTCTTTCCTCCCTCGCCTTCCTTTCTCCCTTTCTCCCTTTTCTCACTTCCTTCTCCTTCCTTTCCTTCTTTCCCTCCTTCTCTTCCTTCCTGTCCCTCCTTCCTTCTTTCTTTCTTTCCTTCTTTTCTTTCCTCCCTTCCTTTCCTCCTTCTTTCCCTTTCTTTATTTCCTTCTCCTTCATTTTTCCCTCCCTCCTTTCTTCATCCCCCTCCTTCCTTTCCCTCCTTCCTTCTTCCTTCATTCTCCCTCCCTCCCTCCCTTCCTCCCTTCCTTCCTTCCTTCCTTCCTTCCTTCCTTCCTTCCTTCCTTCCTTCCTGTCCCTCCTTCTTTCTTTTCCTTCTTTCCCTTCCCTRCCTCCCTTTCTTTTTCCTTCCTTCCTGTCCCTCCTTCCTTCGTTCCTTCCTTCTTTCTATGTAAGATATAAATTCAATATTAAGTGGGACAGTCAAGAAGTAACGAGAGAAAAAGGAATGAAGGAGAGAAAGGGGGAAGGYAGGAAGGAAGYAAGGAGAGAAGGAGGGAGGGAAAGAAGGAAAGACAGAAAGAAAGGTAGAGAAGCAAGGAAGGAGAGAAYGAAATAAAAAAGTGAAAGGAAAAAGAGGGGGAAGGAAGGAGAGAAGGAAGGAAAGATAGGGAAGGAAGGAAGGAAGGAAGGAGAGAAGGAAGGTTGTAACCAAAGAGCAAAGAAAGGGAGGACAGAAACAGGTAGAGATGGAAGAAAGAACAGAAATAGGGAAAGAAAAAGAGGAAAGGAAGGAAAGAGGGAAGGAAGGAGAGAAAGAGGGAGGGAAGGTGGCCACAGCAARGCGTGGCGGGTACAGCTAGATTTGTGATAAATATATCACACATTTCTTTCTTTGAACCTGCCRCCAGACGGACTGAAATCATGCARTACAAAGCTGACTGCTGAATGTTATCAGAGCCAATCATATGACATATTTTCTATTCTGATAAGTATTCTTTCTTTTGTTCTTAAAAGTGTTCTTCCTCTAGCTGTACCACTTAATCTAACCTGTATATCACAAGGGCTGGGTTAATAGCATCCATTTAAATGTTCCTATTTCATTTTTCTTTATCATTGGAACTTAGTATAAGATGTAGCCAAGAGCAACAATTAACCTATTGAGTAACCTTTGCTGAAGATCTTAAGCACCTTCCAATATTTCATCTGTAACTCGGCTGTCAAGGAATGAGCACTATAGAACTATGATGTCATTGGCTAGCAATAGCAGAAGCACATCGGTGGCTACAGTTTGATAACATTTTCATTAATAAAAAGATATGCCCTCTACTTAATGCTTGACACAGAAAAAAAGCATAGCATCAGCAAAATGTTAATAGAGGAGAGAACATAGTTCTTCAACATCTCCTTATATACATGCTCATCAATCTGCCTAATAGTCATCTTTTCAACTTCTGAATTAAAAGCTTCTTCCTGCAGATTTCTCTGTGATGAATCAGAAAGTAGAACAAGACAAAGCCACTAACCTCTTGCCTGTGGTGTTCATAGTTGGATGTGCCTGCTTGTATGAAAGTCTATTTATTTTTAATAACTATTTCTATCCTATTTTGAGATCTCGGGGCAGCATACAATTAAAATTCAAAACAATTCCAGACTAAACAGTTAAAATACATGTATAGGCACACTTGTAAAAGGTACATTTACACCTTTTACCGAAAAATAAAGCTGATGTCTTAACTTAATACTGCCCCAGTCTGTCCCAAAGAGTCACACAAGGCATCTAAGGTTGTTTTGGTACTGCATTCTGTGAGCATTACAACTGGATTGAGTAAATATTTGCAATGGAAGTAGCCCAATCAATGACTGCTAGGTGTGATAGTTAAATGAAGCCTCTATGTTCATAAGCAGTCAACTCCTAAATAACAGTTGCTTGTGGAGCAAACAATGGAAGAGGAAATTAAATACCGTGTGCCATGCAGCTGTGGACAAGTCTACATAGGGACCACCAAACGCAGCGCCCAGACACGCATCAAGGAAAATGAAAGGCACTGCAAACTACTCCAACCAGAGAAATCAGCCCTAGCAGAGCACCTGATGAACCAACCTGGACACAGCATATTATTTGAGAACACAGAAGTGCTGGACCACTCTCACAACCACCATGTCAGACTACACAGAGAAGCCATTGAAATCCACAAGCATGTGGACAATTTCAACAGAAAGGAAGAAACCATGAAAATGAACAAAATCTGGCTACCAATATTAAAAAACTCAAAAATTACAGCAGCAAAACAACAGAGGGGAAAGAAACAGGCATGTGAAATCACTCTCAACAAAAGATTCCCCCCAGGCGCTTCCAAGCCATTGAATGCAAATCAAGGTGATCAGCTGAAACATTCACAGCTAGCCCCAGCAAACAAAAGTCCTTTGTCAATAAAAACATGTATCACAAGAGTCTCCTTGCTAAAAGAATGGTCCAGACACGTCATCCGATTGTTCCATTTTCTTATGTCTGCATCTGCAAACGCTTGCTCAAAAAGCCGAGTCTTGAATTTTTCGGAATGTTAAAAGGGAAGGGGTCGATCTGATATCCCTAAGGAGGGCATTCCATAGCCAAGGGGCCACCACTGAGAAGGCCCTGTCTCTCATCCCTGCCAGACATATTTGTGACAATGGTGGGATTGGGAGCAGGGCCTCCCCAGACGATCTTAAAGTCCTGGAGGGTTCATAAGGGGAGATACATTTGGACAGGTAAGTTGAG